AAGAAAGAAGGAACACTGCAACAGGCCTACTGACCCATGCGGAGCAGGTCCATGTCCCCCCCCCCGGATTAGCCCAATGACCTACCCAGTCTGGTCATCTCCACTCAAGGATGGAGCACTGCATCAGACCCAGCAGCACAAGCTAGTCAGGTCCAACTCACACCCACCCACACCCACTCATGTATTTATCTAACCTATTTTTAAAACTACACAACGTTTTAGCCTCAATAACTGTACTCGGGAGTTTGTTCCACTCATCCACAATTCTATTACCAAACCAGTGCTTTCCTATATCCTTCCTGAATCTGAATTTTTCCAACTTGAAACCATTGCTGTGAGTCCTGTCTTGGCTGGAAATTTTCAGCACACTATTTACATCCCCTTTATTTATTCCTGTTTTCCATTTATACAACTCGATCATATCCCCCCTAATTCTATGCCTTTCGAGAGAGTGCAGATTCAGGGCCCTCAGTCTATCCTCATAGGGAAGATTTCTGATACATGGGATCATCAGCCATTCCAAAACTATATCCCCACCATATTTTAACATTTCAATCTTTATCCTATCAATTCCAGCTGCTTTACCCCTTTCCATTCTATCCACTGCCTCATGTACCTCCCTCATACTAACTACTGGATCTTCCTCACTCTTCCAAGATGTTATACCTCCCTGCCCAATGCATGAAATCACAGCTTCCCTATCTCCTTCAACATTTAACAGTTCCTCAAAGAATTTCCTCCATCTTCCCAATACCTTTAACTCTCCATCTAATAACTTTTCTCTCTTATCTTTAACTCTCAAATCTAAATCCAATTTACTGATGCTAACAATGATTTCCTGTTTTTTAAATGCTTTTAATGTTTAATACTATACATGTATATACAAGTTTTTTTATAATACTAAATGTATTTCAAGGTGTTTTAGCACTTCAAACATAAGCAGAGTCACTAAGTATAATTGGTATATATACGACATGACTGGATTCTATTCTCCCCCCCTCCCCCCGAAAACAGCATGTAATAAAAAATACGCGAAAACTTAACTGAAGAACATTTTTTTTTTTAACAAGTCGGCCATCTCCCACTGAGGCAGGGTGACCCAAAAAGAAAGAAAGCCTCCAAAAAGAAAATACTTTCATCATTCAACACTTTCACCTCCCTCTTACTTGTTGTTGCCATTTTCCTCTTGTCCCATCAATCTCTTACTCTAACTGTAGCTACAACTAAATAATGATCCAATATATCAGTTGCCCCTCTATAAACGTGTACATCCTGGAGCCTACCCATTAACCTTTTATCCACCAATATATAATCTAACAAACTACTTTCATTACGTGCTATATCATACCTTGTATAATTATTTATCCTCTTTTTCATAAAATATGTATTACCTATTAGCAAACCTCTTTCTACACATAGCTCAATTAAAGGCTCCCCATTTTCATTTACCCCTGGCACTCCAAATTTACCTACTACTCCCTCAACATTTTTACCCACTTTAGCACTGAAATCCCCAACCACCATTACTTTCACACTTGGTTCAAAACTCCCCACACATTCACTCAACATTTCCCAAAATCCCTCTCTCTCCTCTACACTTCTCTCCTCTCCAGGTGCATATACGCTTACTATAACCCACTTTTCACATCCAACCTTTATTTTACTCCACATAATCCTTGAATTAATACATTTATAGTCCCTCTTTTCCTGCCATAGCTTATCCTTCAACATTACTGCTACTCCTTCTTTAGCTCTATTTGAAACCCCTGACCTAATCCCATTTATTCCTCTCCACTGAAACTCTCCCACCCCCTTCATCTTTGTTTCACTTAAAGCCAGGACATCCAGCTTCTTCTCATTCATAACATCCACAATCATTTCTTTCTTATCATTCACACAACATCCACGCACATTCAGACATCCCACTTTGACAATTTTCTTCTTCTCATTCTATTTAGTAATTATTACAGGAAAAGGGGTTACTAGCCCAGTGTTCCCGGCATTTTAGTTGACTTTTACAACACGCATGGCTTACAGAGGAAAGATTCTTATTCCACTTCCCCATGGATACAAAAGGAAAAGTAATAAGAACAAGAACTATTAAGATAAAATCAAAGAAAACTCAGATGAGTGTGTATAAATAAATATGTACATGAATGTGTAGTGTGACCCAAGTGTAAGCAGAAGTAGCAAGACGTACCTGTAATTTTGCATATATATGAGACAGACAAAAGACACCAGCAATCCTAACACCATGTAAAACAATTATAGGCTTTCGTTTTACACTCACTTGGCAGGACGGTAGTACCTCCCCAAAAAGAGCCAAATGAATTTTGTATAGGTCTCAAAATTGTAAAAATAATGCAAATAATGTAACTGTTGGTTGATGCGGTGATGTGCATCAGTCAAAAATCCGCCATCTACATCTCTGCCAGAAAACAGAGGTACTTTATTTTTTGTTTGTCCCACTCATTGTAAATGGACGAAAGTTATAAACATGGGGTTAGAGTGGTTGAGGTGTACATGAGAGAGGTTAAGCAGGAAATGTTAAAGTGGTTTGAGTGAAAAGGTTTGGTGTGGGCTTGGGGGACCGAATAGTGGATGAGTGTGGGTAGGAGCAGGAGGATAGTGTTGAGAGGTGGAGGATGTTGGGCAGTGGAGGGGTGTGGGGTGAAGGCTGGAAGCAACATGGTGGTATGATAGTGATGGTATGGATGGCAGTGTCAGTGGCTTGGTGTGGGTGGTAGTGTGGATGATGGGTACTGGGTGAATGTGCATTTACTGGTGTGGGCAATAATGAAAGTGGTGTGTGGCTATATGACCAAGTGCATAGACAGTGTGTTAGTGTGTGTAGATGTCTAAGTGATTCGGTACTCAGATGTCATGTTAAGGTGAAAAGTTGAATAAAGTGTGGACGTAAGGATGGAAAAATGATGTAGGTGAGAGCATGAACAGGGCAAGGGATGTCTTCAGGTAACAGGAAACATAGCAATGGGTAAATGGTGTAGGTGTGCTGGGAGGAATTGTATGGGCAGGTTGAACTGAGAGGCTACTAGTTGGGATGGTGTGGGTGAAAGTATGTGGCCATGGGGGAGTTGTATGGGTGGAAATACAGTGGAACCTCGGTACTCAAACAGCTCCCTACTTGAACAAGGCTCGGCATTCGACCAAAGAAACACAACCTGCCAGAACTTCCCTGTAAACTATCTCGTGTTTCCTCACATTTTTTGGTGTTTTTTATATTTTTTGCATAAATAAGTCACCATGGGGCATACGAAGATTAGTGATAACAGCCAACCAATAAGAAAATTGGTTGGAAAGAATTCGTTCGATACCCAAACAGCCTTCAGGAATGAATTAAGTTCAAGTACCAAGGTTAAACTGTATAAATATTTGCTTTTCCTTTCAGGAGGTCATAACCTGGGTTACTCACTGCATAAGCTCATATCTTTGCCTTATTCTTCTAAATTGTGCAAACTGATGTCTCATTCAGGCCACAGGCTCATGTTATTTCCATCACACATATGCTGCTCAAAAGCTTATCTAAAATCTCAATTTTCTTCAAAACACCAAGGTTTTCATGTTCATAGTTAATCTTTGCAGTTCCAGGATCACTTGCATTCCTCTTGGTGCCATGGTTACTACCCAGAGATGAGATGGGATGATGAAAAATTTGAAAGTTGATTAACTAACACTGGCCAAGTATGTTATTGGACACTGGGTATGGGAGGTTTTGTACATTATATAGGCCTCTCCCAAGACAATGGACTTGCCCTGAAGTTCACTGTAAGAAGGATGGGAAAGAACATGGGGCATGCCACATTTTCTCCTATGTGTACTCCATGTAAACCAATTTTTATGGTATGTTCACCAAAAATATGCCACAATTTTGCAACTGTGTTAACCCTTAAACTGTAGCAGACCCCCATATAAAAATTCCTGTGTGTGTGGGAAGATTTTGAGGAAAAAAAAAAATTAGAATGAAAGAGTATTTTTTGGAGTCAAATAAAACTAAAACGAGTGGAATCTGATAAAAACTTATTATTTTATGGTGTGTTGAAGTTGGTGAAAAAATTATCGCTTATGGGCAACAGGAGCGTAAATATGCCAGTGATATTTACATTTTTCAATTTAGTGATGCCATAAGATTTTCTGTTTTCTTTTAATTGCTTTAATGTTTAACACTATTTACAATAGCATCTTATAATATTTGATGTGTTTAAAAGTGTTTTATCACTTCAAACATGGGAAAATGTTATGCTCCAGACTGATCCACTTGGACTATAGATTATATATGTGGTACATAAACAGCATAATTTTTTTTTTGCTATTTCGGTCTTCTAATGCTATGTACAAGGAATACTTATAACATTACAATTGTTTCAGTATAATACTCCTCCAAATATGGAAATAGGTCACAATGTTTGACTTTACTGGGTTATCCTGAGTTAAATACACTTAGTGTACTTTGTGACTGAATTCCCCCGTTAGTATCATGAAATTGTAATACATTTGGTATGAAGTCATCTTTGTGGCACTGTCACACACTGTTTGCTGGTAGGGAAGTTGGTGGTGGAACAACAGCTCCTGATTTCATTGTTTACTTATGCTAGTTAGGCGTACTAGTACGTCGGAAACATAGTCATCACCTGTGTAGTTAACCAAAATGCAATGTGTGGGCCCTCCTGGCCTTAGATTTTTTCTAACGTATGAATGGATTGAGGAAGACCCAGAGAGTTGTTATGAGGTCAAAAATATTGGTAGGTTGTGGATTTGAAGGTATAAAAAATTGTGTACAAGTCAGTTGCATACTAGTACATTGGACACAGTTTAAAGGTTAAGAGCAAAAAGGTGTAAACAGAGCGCTTGTTGTCCGACAGTCTATTGCATTACAATTACTAAAGTAAATGAGATATAAAAAACATCATAAACTAGCATACAATAAAGTACCTCAAAAAATTTAAATTTAGACAAAACGGTACTGTAAGGGATACACTTACCAGGATGTATACCAGGATCACCTTGAGGTCGCACTGGGCGGGTCATGGGTTGGACTGGTCCTGGTACCTGATGTGCTGTTTGGGTAGACACTTGAGGTGGACCCACAATGCGTTGGTATGGCTGTCGCACACCACCATTGCCACTCATAACTTGCTGCCCTCCTATTGTGCAATTACTTTATGATAGCTACATATGATAATGTTGTATATACATTTTATTAGCTTAACAAATACAGTACAGTGCAGTACAAATTTCCTTCAATATTAAAAGTGATTTACCTATTATGTTACATTTAATCATAAAAAAGATAAGGAAGCTTTCCTAATCCCATCAACTAGCAGAAAAAGGAGCCATAACTATAAAGTAAGGAAGAAGAGCTGCTGAAAAAATTAAGTTTTTCTTCACAGGGTGTTGGATCAATGGAAGAGTTTACAACAGTAGAGGATAATGGTACAAACACTGGAAACTTTAAAAGCCTTGATACAGACTAAATACTGAAGATGGGACACTGAAAGATTAGCTTTGCTTCTTTATCTACAAACAGATAACCACAAATAAATAATCATATATGCCAAAAAAATATATATTTAGGATGACCATTTTAAATGTGGCTTCAGCTCTGGATCCCACTGCCTATATTATATTGGCACTGCACTCTTGTGTCAATCATGCCAGGAATGGTAGTTTGTCAGCAGGCTTACAAGTATCAGGAGATGCAGACTTTAACCCTCCATTCTCCCATCCACCAGTGAGCTCAATAAGGGAAGGGATAACAGAGAGGAACAACTGAGTAACTATATGAGAGCCTAGTAGCAAACCCTCTAATACTACCTTAATCCTAGTTAAATCTGGTTAACTGACTCCTTCAGAAATGACAACATGAAACCTTACATTTAATCTCTATACACAAAAGAGCTGTATTATCCAATCATGGGTCACAGCTTCAGAAGTAGATTTTACTTTCTGTGAGTGAAAACAACAGCTCATAGTTCATCACTACAGCTGCAGCCACCCTAGCCTGGAAGGAGGCATTCCCCACACAGACACAGAGGCAGACACACACACACACACATACACAGGAAATAGCCACAGAAGAACATACATGAGATAAAACAAAAGACCATACAGAAATTATAATACTGAATTTAAAGTCATACCAAAATCATACTACTTAATCCAATCTCTGAAACAAACTCTATCATTATCCTGTTCTTTCCTTCTTTCGTAATACAAAACAAAGACTTTCCAATATCATACCAGGTATAGGTGGTAAGCCAACTGATGGGTTTCCTGCAGAGAGAACATCAGCTTTGAGTTTCTCATAATCCATGTCGCTGAGATTAAGGTCAACTGGTCCTAAACTTTCTTGCTGTTGGTGATGACTTGCCTTCTGCTGCTTCATTTGCTCTTGCTTTTCTTGTTCCAGTAAATCTTCTATTAGCAAGGGCTGTTCCTGCCACAAGAGGAGAGGGGTGAGGAGCTGCACAAGAGACTTTATACACACACAAATTTTTTTTTAGATAATATTACACTTAGTCTTCGTAATTAATATTTTTAATCTGGCTAAAGGTAACAATGTATATTCACATTAATTTTAACATTTGCAGACAGATGAAAGTTTGAGGAATTTAAAAGAATGTTAACCCTTCCATGTGTAGCCAATTTTTACAGGTTAAGAAAGCTACATAACTATACATTACTTTTCAACAGGTATTTTTATTTTTTCAACCGTAACCAATGTTCACTGTGCTCAAAAATGTATCACTACACGATTGATATATATTTAAAAAAATATATCTCATGTATTATAAAAAAAACTTATGAATTGTAAATGCATTTTTAAAATAGCCTAATTTTTCTCCATGCAATAAATGTTCAGCAATTTTACACCATGTGATTTAATAGAAGACTACAGTAAATCCTCTTATAATATGAATTCACATAGCACAGTTTTGTTGCAATGCAATTCAAAAAGTGCATAAAAAATTATGATACAGTATTATGTGCCATATATCTAAAAAAAGAACAAAAAAAATTATTATTAGTACTTAAAACTTGGGTAGTACACTCCATAGATTTTCCCCTCTCTTGTTGATGGCCAGTGGCAGTGCAGCTTCCAGCACCTTCACAATAAACCCTAGATTTAATGGATTTTGGGTTTAACAGACAAAAATCTGTGGCTGGACAAATTTTGAAACAAATGTTATAGTTTTTTAAATTTAGAAACGTACATTATTCTTACTGTCCACTGGGTAAATTCATTTCAGTTGAGAGAGACTTGGTCCATTAAATCAAAAAAGTCCATTATTTTATGCACAGTTCCAGAGTTAACAGTCTGTTAAATCAGGAATTATTCATTATTGCTGTAGTCTTCTAGGCAAATTTATTTTCAGATTTAATGGTCTTAGTTTGTTAAATCCGAAAATTGTCCAGTATTATGATCATGGTAAAATATTCTCATAACTCAGATTAACAGTCAGTTTCAATGGACATTCCCCCCCCCCCTGTATTAGTCTGTTAAACGGAGGGTCACTATATCATTATTTTTCCTGGCTATTACTTTCTCAAATGAATTCGTCTTGAATTCTTTTTTACAGATGTGGCGAGTTCCTATTTATTTGGTCCAATTTCGCAAGGTAACACGGCTATCGTGTTGATGATGCTCAACTGTACTGAATGACCTAGATGATGCTCTCTCTCATAATTTTTCTTTGCTTTAGCTTTATAAAATTAATTTATCTTTGGTCTATGTCAATTTTGTACAGGTGTGGCGAGTTCTTATTTGTCTGATACAATTCGATAAAGAAATTTAACTTCTGATACAATAACATTCTCACCTGGTGAATGTGTCAGCTGACCAATTTTGTCTACATCAAGTAATGACTAAGAAAATGTGAGGCACATTATACTGTAGTAATTTTTACTTAATATATATATATATATATATATATATATTATATATATATATATATATATATATATATATATATATATATATATATATATATATATATATATATATAAAGAGCAGCTTGGCAAATCTGGATACAATTCCAGTTTTCTCATATGTTCTTCACTACAGCTTATGCGCTGATTTTTCCAGAATTTAACCCATGCATTATTATTATAATCAAAAGAAGTGTTAAACCACAAGGGTTATACAGTGCAGCAGGGCAGAGACGGATGCAGGGGAAATGGGTGGCAAGAGGGAGAGGGATGATTATTAGGGTATGGAGTGCGGCAGGGCAGTGGATAATGCAGGGGGCAGAGGGTAGCAAGAGATTAGGGTAGAAAGGACGGAGGAGTGTGCTAGAGGCACCATCTTCAGAGTTTGTGTAGTAAATCAGTTGCTGTCAAAAAGTCAATGAGAGAGTCTGGATTAAAGGAGGGTCCATCAGCAAGAAGGGAAGGTAAAGAAAGTGCAGCAGAGCAGAGATGACATTGGATGTAAATTCTGCATGCTCACTCATAGAGCAGACAGTCCAACAGAATGTGGCTAACAGATACTGGAATATGACAATTCTCACAGAGAGGAACAGGGTGCCTCTCCATGAGATACCCGTGAGTAAGACGAGTGTGGCCGATGCAAAGGTGGGATAGAGTAGTCTCTCAACCCTGACATTTATGACAAGACGACGGCCAGAAACCAATACAGTGTACTCAGTTGAATAGAATGAAGTTTGTTATGGAGCAGATCAGACCAATGTTGTTACCAATTGGTGCAAAGGTGGGTAGAATTTCAGCAAAATAGTCTGTGAATGGAACACCTCTATATGAAACTGGGAGGTCACGTATTGCTGACCACGCAGCAGTGTCTGCCTGTTCATTGCCCTGTACGTCAAAATGACCAGGGACCCAGTAAAAAACAATATCTTTGTGTCTGCTTGAGATACAGCGTAGCCAAAGTTGAATATGAAGAACTAGGGGGTGAGGTGTATCAAATTTTCACATAGCCTGTAAAGCACTAAGGGAGTCTGAAACGACCACAAATAGTGGCACAGGCATAAATGCCATATGGATAAGTGCTACAAGAATGGCATAAAATTCAGCCATAAAAATGCTAGCTGAGGATAATAAATGTCCTTGCACAACACTGTCCGGAAACAATGCTGCAAATCCGACGCTGTCAGAAGACTTAGAACCATCAGTGTACACTGCGATGGCATGAGAAAGAGTGGAAGTGGTCAAGAAAAAGAGAGCGGGAAGCCTCCGTAGGGAGTTGGGCTTTCACGCATGGCAGTGGAAAAGAACAGACTTAAACAGCTGGAACTTCCAAGGGGACAGCGAAAAGCGAGATGCTACTTGAACGTAGAAAGGTGGTAACTGAAGAGAAGACAAGAGCGAATGGAGGCGGAGAGAAAAGGGGCGGAGTAATCAGGGGTGACGAACAAATAAAGAACGTCTATTAACATCAGTGACCAGCCTATATACGGAAGGATTGTGGAGGTCATGAGATTGAACATAACAGCAAATGCAATGTGCATCATGGCAACTGGACGAGGATGGAATATTCGCTTCTGCATAGAGGCTCTTAACAGGGGATGAATCAAAGGCACCAAGGCAGAGACGGAGACCTTTGTGATGAATGGGATCTTAGAGTTGTGGGAGAGGCCGCAGAATAGATTTGGTCACCATAATCCAGCTTGGACAAGACTAGAGTGGAATGCAATTGGAGGAGACTGCGATGATCTGCTCCCCATGAACGATGAGAGAGAACTTTAAGGAGATAGTGTATAGCCGACCATGGCAAGTTGTCTTTAAGGAAGAAATGTGTGGTCTCCACGTCAGCCAGCGATCAAAGAGCAGGCCCAGAAATTTGACTGTATCACATGTCGGAATACATGAACCACGTAAGTACAAGGGATTATCCAGAATAAGAGGACATCTAGTGAAGGTAATGAACCGGGTTTTCGTACTAGAAAATTTAAAGCCGTAAGAAGTGGTCCAATGGGAGACTCGGTCTATCACAACCTGTAGAAAGGCTGCTACTAATCGACAGTGAGCACGTGAGTAAGCTATAGTGAAGTCATCAACAGAAAGTGACGACCAAATATGCGAAGGAAGAACAGAAGGGAGGTCACTTATAGCTAAGAGAAAAAGAGTAGTGCTGAGGACACAACCTTGTGGAACTCCCTCGGCTTGTACAGAGTCCGAGGAAAGTGAGGCACCAATATGGACCCGAAAATGTGTATTGAACAAGAAAGCAGCGATAAAGTTTGGTAGATTACTGCGGAGGCCTAAGGAGTAGGCTTGGGCAAAGATGCTATACCTCCAAGTGGTGTTGCATGCCTTCTCTAGATCAAAAAAGACTGCTAGGACAGAGTGGCTGTTAGCAAAGGCATTGCGAATACACATATCTAAGTGGAGCAAGGGGTCTACAGTAGAGCGGCTTTTGCGAAAGCCATATTGGCGAGGGGAAAGGCTATTGCGTGTCTCTAAGAACTACATGAGACGTCTATTCACCAATCGTCTATTCACCTATCGTCTCATTGCCCTGACCACACTGGACAAGGCAATGAGACGATAATGAGAGGTGTCAAGTCCCGAGGTGCGTGGTTTGTGAAAAGATAGTGTACAACAGTTGATTTCCAGTGTTGAGGGAGAACCCCTCACATCCAAATTAGATTAAAAAGACATAAAAGAACGGGAAGGGCCGTAAAATGGAGATGTTGAAGCATACTGATGTAGATATCATCAGGTCCAGGTGCAGACGGCTGGCAAATGGAAAGCGTGGACTCCAGTTCTTGAAGAGTAAAAGGTACGTTATATGGCTCCAACCCATCGAAGGAGAAATCTAAGGGCAACTGCTCTTGGGTAGGTTTAGATGCAAGAAATGAGGGACAGAGGTGAAGCCCTTGGGAGAGATGGGCAACATAGTTCCCGATTGCTGTGGCAATTTCTAAGGGTTCCACAACATCAACTCCAGCAACTTGCACAACGGGAGCTGGGCCAGAGTGTACTTACCAAACATTTTCTGCACCCTTTTTCAAATCGCACACATGGGGGAAGACAAGTTAATGGTAGACACCCAGTCTCGCCAACAAGTGCGCTTAGCGTCATGGATGATGCTGCGGGCAACTGCCCTTGCCCTCTTGAAATCCAACAGACGCTCCGTAGTGCGATTATATCGATAATGGCCCCATGCAGAACATTTTAAATGCACTGCACGGGTGCATGTAGGCGACCACCAAGGTACACATGCCTGAGAATCCCTACCTGAGGTCTGGGGGAGAGAATGCATCGCCGCAGTTAGGACCAAGGTCGAAAAGTGGTGTGCCAGTTCATTAATAGAGGACAAAAGGGGGTACTCACAACAGGCAGTAAGATGGGAGTATAAGTCCCAATCTGCTCAAGCAAATTGCCAACAAGGGCTAAGAAACAGTCAGGCATACGTAGTAGAAGTAAGAACAATGGGAAAGTGATCACTATCGTGTAAATCTGGAAGAACAGATT